TTAGCTGAGAAAGTCAATAATTACAACATTCTAAGAACGGATACACGTAGTTTATACAACAATTCTTTTTGCTCTCATTATTTTCAACTATTATTATCATTATTATAATTTTAGTCTAATGAAATAAATTCTTAGACTAAAAAAAAGACATTGAGCACTACCAACATAGGCTATCGGCCCTAATTTACATAAATGTACATTAGATATTGAGCCTAGTTTTTTTAATAAAGTAATATGTTGAATTTATTAAGTGCGAGACGTGCCGATCACGTCGGGGTCACCAAAATGTTGAGATTATGGTTTTCTTGACTGTGTTTGTAATGCCTACTTAGTTGGCATGATTCGACAAGACGTTGCGTCAAGTCGTACCAAGTTATTGAGATGTTTTTTCCAGCACTTGGAACTGGAAGAAACGCTAAAATAAAAAAAGGCGATCGATGAGCTTCACAAAGACGATTTCCTTGAATATGTTTGTTAGCTCGTCTGACACCAAACAACAAATGATGAGACGTGCCAATCACCTAGGTCACCAAATGTTAAGTTAGAATGGTTTCTTCCAAATGTATTTATTATCGTGTCCAAAGTGGACACTAACAAGCAAATAGAACGTTTTAGGAACGAGTGGCAATTGGAAATTTCGCCGTTTTTTTAATAGCAATAAAGACTCAGTTAGTTGGCAGGATTCGACAAGACGGTGCATCAAGAAGTACCAACTTATATAGGTTTGGGTCTTCCAGCACTTGGAACTGGAAGACACTACAAAAAGATAGCCGGTCAGTGCAATGATTAAAGTATAAAAACAAATTTTATTACGAAAAGTATGGCTTATAAACAATATTATTATTATTGTTATTTTAATTTTAGACTAATGAATTGAATTCTTAGACTAAAAAAAAAGACATTGAGCACTACCAACACAGACTATCGGCTCTAATTTATAAACGTACATTAGATATTAAGCCTAGTTTTGATAAAGTAATATATTGATATTCTGTTCTATAGCTAATTGTAGAATGTGGAAAGGGTTAATCGTTCCAAATGCGATACTTCAAGCCAAGGAATAGTTAAGGCAGTCGTAGAGAATGTGCTTCATAATGAAAGTTTGTCCACAACTTCAGATTGGGGAGAAAGACTTCTTCCTTTCATAGGTGAGTTGCAATTGTATGACCAATGTAACTTTCTCTTTAACTTTTCTTCTAATGTATTCTTGAAGATCCAACTTTTCCATGACATCATCCATAATTAGAGGTGCAGAAGCAGTATACTTCGCCGCTCGATCAGCCTGCTCATTTCCCAATAAACCGATATGACTTGGTACCCAAAGAATTTTAATTTTTTCTTCGGGGGTTATAATAATTTCCTGAACTTGTTGATCTTGCTCCATTTCGAAGACGAGTATTCCATATAGCTTTCAATGCAGACAGACTGTCAGTAACAACGACGATTTTAAGTTACTCTCCAGTATTTGGGTTTTTTTCAGCTGTTAGCTTCCAGAAGACGTACTTTGGAGTATCTTCTTTCTTGTGCACAGACAGCGAAATGTCAAAAGAGTAGTCTTTCTAAATTCATAGAGGTTTAACACCAAAAGAGCGGAAAATTTTTAAGGGAATGTTCAATTCCTTTGCGACGTACAAACAATAGTCAATTGCAGATGGTGACTTTGGAATTTTTTTCGCAATAATAGTCTTTCTCACGTCATAACCGAGAATGGATTTGTTTGAATTAAGAAGCTTGGGGACTATTTTAGCTTTTAACTCATAAAGTCTATTATTTAAAGTTGGGAGACCAGTTTCGATTATACTATTATTTATGGGCGTCATCCGAAAAACATAGCAATTTGCTCTGAGGGCTTAGTGATAGACCGGTTTCAGGATGCTGATATTAGTATTGCATGAAATTCACCTGTGTTAAAATGGAATTTTTTAACCGAAGATACTGTGTTCTTCAACGATAATTGTTGGAAAACGTGAGCCCGAGGATATGAAGCGTCTACATATTTGGCACTGATAAGTTATTAATATGCATCAGTAGATTTCCTGCATCACATTTGCTTTCGAGAAATGTAATTTTGATGTAGTTGATGAATTTGGGTCCAATATTCCATGATACCATCAAACAACACAAAGGCCAACTCTGCTAAATGCTTTTTCGAAATTAATTGAGAGAATTGTTACGTGATTTCGTTCGGAAGTTGCTTTGCTTGTGAAATAATCAATATGTAACGGAGCGTCGATGCACCCTCTACCCCGCTTGAAACCAACTTGTTGCTTTGTTATCAGGTTCTTGGAGTCAAGAAACCAAGATAATCTAGATGCCATAATCTTTTCCAATACCTTTGAGAGGCAAGATAAAAGAGAGATTGGGCGATAGTCCGATGCGATGGAGACATTTTTAGACTTTGGAATTGGAACAACTGCTGCCAGTTTCGACATGTAGGGTATATGGCCAGTCAAAAATACCATGTTATATAGATCCAGTAATGTCTTTTTATTTGAATTAGACGGAGCACTGATCATTTGGTACGAGATGCGGTCTAGACCAGATGTCCTCCCTTTCGATTTGGAGAGACAACTTTCGAGTTCTGAGGTATACTATTTTCCAAGCATTGGAGAAAGCATTGGATTGCTGTCAGAGAAGTGTTTGTACCACATTTATCCAAAGTAATTAGAAATCTCATCTGCGTCAGTTAAAGTTCCATTGGGAATGCAGATGGCAGAAATTTCTTTCAAACTTGAAGTCCCGTCGAGTCTGTTAATTTTGTTCCGCGCATCTTTCACTGATGTATTTCTTTTCGAAAAAAGTTCGAAACTAAGTGCCTTTGATTTTCGTAATTCCTTTCTGAAGAGAGAATTGACCTTTTTATATGATACCAAATGGTCGTGATCAGGATATCTTGTAAAGCAATGCCTTAAATCCATCCTGTTTTTGCTTAATAATGAAAGCGCGTTGTTCCACCAAGGAAACCTAGCTCCTTTAGAAAACATGCTGGATTGAGGAAAAGAGAGATGACCGGCCGTGCGGATTGCTTTGGATATAATAGCAGCATTATGGTTGCAGTTCCCGTTAAATGACTTTGAATTCAGAAATGAGTAGAGCTGTTTGGAGTAATTAACCCAATCCGCTTTATCAAAAAGGAATTTAGTGTGTTTTGCCGGACTAACAGAGGACTTTGAAAGGTTAAGATCGATTATGATTGGAAAGTGATCACTATTATGTAGATCATCAGAAATAGACCACGAAACCAAAGGAAGAAGTGAGGGAGGGCAACATGTTAAATCAATATGTGAAAAAGTATGATGAGTTAAAAAGTGCGTTGGTTTTCTATCATTTAAAATGCAGAGATTACATTGAATGAAGGCCTTTTCTAAAACAGTACCACGAGTGTTGTTCACTGTTTAATAGCTGGGATATAGAGCGAAAGCACTGTAAATTTTATCTTTAAGCTTATTTGTATCGCTACGGCTTGCATTTTTGAGCTTAAATTTATGCATTTGTGAGGTATCCAATATATGATTTGGGTGGAATAGCATTAAAAGAACTTCTACAATGATTCTCTTGAATGGGTATAAAGATTGGATTAAAATCACTTACGAGTATACGGAGTTCATCAAAATTATTAATAAGTCCCCAAATGTTCCTTTGTAGAATTTTAAAAACTTTATTTAATTGCAGTGCCATGGAAACGGAATGGAAAGTACATTAAGTTGACATGTCAGCGTCTCCGTCGAAAATGTCACTATAAGAATTTTGCGTGAATAATTTGTTCTTACCAGCAGAATAATCTGTGCTTAGCTGGTTGCGTAAAATTGAAGTTCAAAGAATGGTCACACGTGAATAATTTGAAATCGAAGGTTGATTGAGGGTTAAAAGATTGAATTCATCACAGCTTGTCATTTGTTGACTAGAGTTGAGAACTGGTGTTTCTGGGAGATTTAGTTTATTAGATATTGGCATACGTGTTATATGCTAGGATCAGTTGAAGAAATCACACCATAGTATTTGTCAATAGGAATGATGTCCCTGGTTGGCAACACCGGAATGTCCGAATTTTTAATTTTTTTTCTTTGGGGGGATACGTCCGCTAATAGATGAAATCTATTTGTGTTTTTATCTGGCGGTCCCGGGGCCATTATGCCTTATGGTTGTCTATTATTTAGTAATTTGTGAAATAACCACTTACTTCAAATGGTTTGGGAACTACTGGGGATAATGGCAATTGTTTTCAACTTTTTTTTCTATATTTCTGTTTTCTGTTTTGTTTTTTTTTTTTTTTTTTTTGATTTTTTCTTTTATATTTAGAGAAAACAAAAGCACATACGGTATGCGCAATAATCAGTTGCTAAGTACACAAAAACACCGAAAAAAATTAAAAAATCGCAGACGAAAAAGAAAACACGCACTACTCAGAACACAAGTCAATAATGTATTATTTTCAGCTAGTCATAAAGTGTTTACCTGGGAAAAAATTTACAGTTAGTTTTGCAGAAGTGCAACTTCGTTACTCGAACTTAGTTATCATGTAATACAATCATTTTTTCCCCATCTTTACTGATGGATGAAGTCTGATGTTATAGACAGTTGTCTCTGGTTTCCAAATATTAACATCGAAGCTTATTTCTCAAATCACCAATGCAGCTTCACATTTTCGGCTGAATGTTTTGCGATTCTGGAAGCCATCTAATTAACAGATAGTCCCAGGTAAGGTTCATCCTTATGTGTTAGAAATCAAATCTGTATTATATAGTCTCAAATTTGATGCATTTTGAATCTTCGGTTGTTGATTTGCAGAAGAAGAAGAAATTGCAAGCAAAATTGCCTACTTGCGAACAGATGAGCCAAAACAAAAAAATAAAAAACGGAAAATTAATAAATCAAATTTATTCAGCAACAAACAACAACCACACCAAAACCAAAAAGTAATAAAAAAAATATATAATATATGAATTAAAAGCATGGAGTTAAATTTGGGCAATTCGTAACAAATAGGTGGTCTGCCCACAAAAAGGAGGCGTAGATTTGTATGATTGCAAAGTAAAAAAAGCGACGAAGCCGGTCTGAGAGAACCACTTAAATCTAACGATCGTAGAATAAATGGAAATATTTACAGAAAGGTAAGTGTATTAAATAGGTATTTGATACATATACATATTATAAATTATGTTATTTTAAGACTGATCTTTTAGAACTAGATGATGCAGGGGTCTCTTCTATGTGTTGGGGCTATTTTGAGGATTTAAAGTTTTTCTATGATTCTTATAAAAAATCAAAGATTGCGAATAGTAATTTGAAGTATCCATATCCAGAGTGTTTAAAAAATTTCATACAATGAAAAGCCGGACAAGAACTGCAAGAAGAATTGCCTGAAGGCAAATTAAGTTCGTGAATAATAAAAAAATTTGAATGAGGAGATCGCAATATATTAGAAGAACCAACATTCTTGGGTTTATCTCCAGAAACTAATAAATCCGGCCCTTTGCAGAATATTAGAAGTCGTCTGGCATTATGCGACGCGTCTCTTTGGTAGTAACAGTATTTTCCCCTCTCTCCAGATTATGAGGTTGTAAAAATAAATTATCTAATCTAATACCAAAACTCATGCAATATATGTATCAATACTATCCACAAGCAATGTATATACATTTTGTACCCTAGCATTCAATTTAAGTGTCGACCTCTTCAAAGATATATGAAAAGTATATACAGAATGCAATATGCCACAAAAGATTTAGTGTTCCCTGAGTGTTCACTTGAGAAGCCATATGAAACGAGTGCATGGAATAAAATTAATAATAAGAACTTACCAACATCCGATGGAATTTACCTAGAGAAAAGTATACCATTTTTAATATCTTTCAGTATTGGATATAATTCAGAATCAATAAAAGTAAATTAATGTTAACCTTAATTTTTATCTTGGATAATATAGTAAATTTTCAAGTAATTTTCAGCTTAGAACAATAATCCCCTGGAGTATATATCTGCACTTAATTAAAGTCCACATATCCTAAAATTATAGATTTAAAAAAAAAAAGTCGGTTATTTCAGTAAAGCGACAAACTATATTATATGAACGTGTGGAGCAAAATCTAGCCATCGTTGAGTGCAATATTGATAATCATTTCTGACAATATTTTTGCATTTCGATTTTATGGTTGGAGGAACAAATAATAAACAATGCGGCAACACTTTCACTACAAATTTTTTATTTCGTGAATTAATGTATTCCATAATTGAAATAAATATACGCATATATTAATTGTATTAATAGATGAAAAAAATGTATTCATTAGTAGTAGGTTTGTTTGTTTATTTACCAGAGAACCAACTATTATTTTTCTGATTTTGACAGCCACAATTGCATATAAAGTAAAATTTCTCTCTTTTTTCTATTCTTTGATTTATATATGAATGATAGCAAAGAAAATATCACGAAAGTCTTACGCGAATCTGACAGAAACATTTATCACTTATCGCACTGGTCACAAGGGAAAGTTAATTTTCAGATACGTAATTACCCCTCTTGGCACTGATTATGTATGAAGTTAACTAGTCCGCATGTGTTTACTACGCCGCTAAAATGCTAACCATTCTCCCAACAAACTATGTGTTATATATATTATAAATTATAATAACATGTTATTTACTTATGTCATGGAAGACAAATTTGAAAATTTATAAAGTAAAAACCTAATGGTGATTACGATTAAAACAAAATTTTAGTCTAGCGATTTTACGCTGTGTTGTTGTGGGTTAAAGAGTTTCTTATATTTCAGTTATATAAGAAGTATTGTTAAACTTCGTTTCAATTGTTATTGCTTTTAGTATAACTAAATACGTAAAAAATAATCAGTATATGTAAATTAAACAATAACAAATCTATTAGTAACGTTGGCATTATTTAATAAAGGCAAACAATATATAACGGAAACATATAATCATTATATATTGTGAAGCATATCGATAATGAAAAGACCATCCAACAATTACTAAGGAATCCAATCCAAGTATGGAGGGGAAAATTGGAGAATGATAGATCGTGCAACACCAAGATACTGGATCTGAAAAACAAAACCGCTATTTCCTCTTTAGCCAGATACCAAATAATTTCGAGAGTGATGACGAGGAACTTTGTTAAATCCTTTATGGCTCCATTAAGATTTTTGTATTTTTATTTGTATATCTACACATTTAATACATACATATAATTATTTCAATTATGAAATACATTATGTAATGAAGTAGAAACAATAAAAAAACTAAAATGGACTGTTGCCGCTATGTTTATTTTTATTTAGTCTCCGAACCGCCTTAACTGCGTTGGGTCTGCGATATCACCCACACTGTACTCTAAATACGTACCGGACGATGAAAAATCAAAACCTTTGCTTTCCAAATGTACTTTATAATGTACGCAAATACTACAAGCGAACAAACTTTTGCGAATCTTATCATTTTTCTGGCATTTTACTTTTGCGCTTCTCCATCAAAATGCGCCAGCGACCCTGAAAAATAAAAATGCTGAATATAGACTTTTGAATAATAATGGCAGTAAGTAGTACTAAGCTTTATTTAAACTAATGCACTTTTCAATGACGCTACTTGCCTTACAGTGAATATCACTATATTTCTCTTTAATTGCATTGACTGGTCTTCTGTGCAACGTCACTAACTACAGCTCTAACTATCCACTATCACCTAAAAATAAGTGAATTATAAAGATACGTATTACTTTAAATCATCTCACTGTCTACCAAGGAGCCAAGCATTACTTTGATCGCAATTCCAGTAGTCACCTAACCACCTTTCGTGGTTGTGTCTCCATATGGGCGAGTCGTGGCTTGATCCCTTTGTTAGTAACCAATTTTATTTGAAATTTATTTTGTTCTTAATTTACAGTTGTTTTCTCTTTTGCTCTAAACAACCAATACCAATGCCAAACGTAAGATCTTCTGGTGTCGTGTAATTTGCCAAGCATAATTAAACGTATTTAACAGGTGTTGTGCCAAGAAACCTATCGTCATCAATCAATGCTGAATGCCACCACATACGCGAAACCAACCGAAAAACGAAAACATACGTTGACTTTCAGATACGTGAGTACCCCCCATAATTCACACAGAATTGAGTTTTGTAATTTGGCTTCACCTTACCAAAACATACGATGTCTTTAATTTTAAAGCAACAATAAATAGAAATAGTGAAAAAATATACTAATTTTCTTAACAAAAAAAAAAAAAAAAACAAGCCAGAAAGTTATATTCGGCGAGGGCCAATTCTCGCATACCCACCATTATGCTTTTCGCATTCTACTCTCCAAGTTTTTTTTATATGATACCTATATCGCTGGTATAATTAAGAAAAAAGTAACTTCGGTGTCTACCGTATTCATTTTCAAACTAACCCATCTTTATTTGAGGAATGCACAAAATATTTGTACACATTGTCTTGTTTGCGTTATGATAAATAATCATAAAACCTCCAAAAAATAAGATTTAATCGCTTGTAACTTTGCATGGGCATGGTCGATTTCTTCAATTTTTGCAAGTAAAGAAAGGCACATATCGTAAAGTAAATATGGAAAATTTCAGACTTCGGAGTAGGAGCAAAAGCCCACAAATCTTTGTGAAGAAAAACGGAGTTGCGGTCAGTTTATGTTCCACGGCGAACTTCTACTCGGGCCAATTTGACCCATTTTCAATATCAACAACCGTGCAAAAACTTCCAATGTTTCTATCAAATTTGAAGTCGATACCTTCATTTTTGATACCAAAAAAGTGCCAGCAACCACACAGACAAACAGATGGACAGACGTGGCTGAATTAACTCAGAATTCCACGCTGATCGAGAATACATATACTTTATAGGGTCTCTAAAACTTCCTTTTGGGTAATACATATATTATGGAAAAGAACAAAATGAAAATACCGCCATGGGTATAATTAATCCACTAAATAAGTTCACAATATAGGTATATGTTATCTTTTTTTTACCTCTTTTTGTTAGTCCCTCATATTTTTCCTTGTCTTGTGCTAATTCTCTTTCTCTCTCCGTGAGTTTTCTATATTTTTCGTAAATTTCCTATTTTCCTTTACGCTTTCTTCTGTAATGGTACATGTGTATTGCTTACGACTGGCATTATAGTTTTTATCCTTAAAGCAAATACTAAGTAGGCCTTGTACAACTGGAAACTTTTGAACCAATTTTGTATATAGTTGTTTCTATTTGTATATGCCCTGCGAACTCTATATATTGGTGCATTATCTATAGCTGAACGAAAATCACGGACCAATTTTGATATAGATTTCAACGAACATTAATTAAAGTCAACGGTTTAAAACCACTTAGCATTTATTTCTTGAACAAGAAAGCGCTAGATAAGGTCTGCTCTAATATGACTCTGTGAAATTCAAGTTTGCAATTGAAAGCAATGCTCATATTAGTTCATTTTTTACTAAACTTTGCCGGCTTTTGCGAGCCATAAAGTTTTTATGTAAACATATGAAATGAAAACACATACCGTATGTTCGAAACAAAAAATAGGGATAACAAAAAATAAAAATGACATATTACAACCTAAGGACATTTCGAATCTTTTGGATGTGATATATTTTGAAATTTCGATTTATACAGTATATTATTCCCATATTTACTCATTTTTACATTGTAATCCTTATTATTCCTTGATTGCTACTTCTCGTATCATGTGTTGGCTGTTTACATTTACATTGAGTTTTTATTTTTACTTCTCAATCAGGAGAATGCGTTTTAGGCAACGCCTTAGAACTTATATACTACTATATGTAATTATTATAACCAAAAAATATGTATTTGAATTTATTCGAATTTTTATTTCAAATATTTAGAATTTCTGTGAGAACAATATCTAATTTTTTATTTTTGTGGAGTACTACAAATTAAAAGATCCGAAAGGACATTTTCGTTGCTATAAACATAAAAAAAAAATAAAACTTTGGCAATCCTGTTTTCTGAGTCTATAAAAAAACAACCTTGCTTTTAATTCTATGATATACGGCAATTTACAAATCGTTCGGTTATCAGCCATCTTGTTTTACTCGCTGTAGGTTTTGATCCGCACATAAACTAATAAAGCTCATTGCAGTAGCCATCGTACAATAGTGTAGTAGAGTTTGCTAATTGAAGTTTTGTGTAGTGATATGATTTAACCATACATTAACTTGAAATCAATTAATATCAACTGTCTCGCCAAAGCGAAACTTTGTTAATTATCTAATTAAATACATTTTAAAGAATTTTGTTGGTAAAGTATTTCCTTTGCTACTTAACAAAAGCCCATTTGAATTAATCTGTGTTTGTATATTTTCTAAATGTGTCTAAGCAAAGATAAATGCTTGTTTGGTTGTAAAAAACAGTATGTATTGTTGAAAAGCAGCGTGTTAGACTTGGTGAACTGGAAGTGGCGGGAATAAGTAAATAGTTTTCTTTTTCACAGTAAGCCCGATGTTTTTTCTTCTCCCGTGCTTCACGCCGCGAGTTGGCAATTATCTGAGTCCGAACCCGTAAGGTGATGTGCGGTGGAGCAATACTTTCACAAATCATAATACAAGTCTCAGTTACTAATTGCATTTAATGTCTATGTTATGTATTGAAAAGAAAATGAGAAGCGAATTTCATAAAAATTAACTTTTTGGTGATGCCATGCTAATGAAATTTTTTTTAAATTATGGGATAAATAATAAATAGTCTATTTTATAATATTGACCTTATGTTATTCTTTATTGAGAACTAGTCTCACTTAATATTTACTCTTTCTTGGTAAAGATATATTACCGATTTTGGGCCTAATCATACAAATTTCAAATCTTTTATACTGGCAAAAGAAATCAATTGCGAGATTTCGTTCCTGAATTTTCTATTGCGATAAAGTTACTACTTCCCAATGCATCATAATTGTAGAAAAATGCATTCATTTTGATTATATATTTCTCTTTACTCATAAGTTTTTATTCTTATTTTACCTTTACACTCACTTTATCAAGAAAATTGGTAACAATGTAAGAAATGTACTCTACAACAGGTGTAAGGGGCGTGGTTATTCACCGACTTACATCGAAGAACGTTTCAAAAAATTTAAGTTTAAGCGAAAACGTGGTCTACAACAAACCAAGGGATCCATTATTCAATTGCTTACTCCAGCAAGTCAAATTAAGTAAAATAGAAAATTGCTATTATAGCAACAGTGTAATTTCAAATTGAGTTAAAACAAAGACCAAGTATGGTGGCAAGTATATATACTTATGCGTACTAGAAGTGGTTATTAATATAATGTAGTTTGGGAAGGATGGATGGGTATATATAAAAAATTTTAGATGTAATTATTTTTACTGAAAAATTATACGTAAAAATAGCGGTTATTTCCTGAAAGATATGAAGATAGACTCAATAGGTAGGCTAAAAATTTGGAATTGAAAATTGAATTCAAATAGAAGCAAAATATTTAGGCAGGTTAATTGCCGCTACAAGCAAAAATATGTGTCCAAATAAAAAGTATTAAATGAGTAGTATCATAATCTCTGCGGTTTTCATATGACTAGATTTGTTCGAACAATTACATTATACAAAGTTCGTCGTAATTTTTGTTTTTAAGTATAATATTACAAGTCCTTTATTTTACAATGTGGTTCAACTGCTTTGTTCTTCGCTTTTAAATTGGAATGTTTAATCCCTAGTTTTCAATTTAATGAGAATTGAAAGAATGGAAACTAAGAGTGAGATTGAAAACGAGGTATCTTCTACGAATGGTGACTTTTCACAATCGCAACAACTGGAGCTAGAGCATCAAAATTCTGTAGGAAACATTGCTAAAGCTGCGGTAAATATTAATATAAGCAAAGAGAGCAACTCCATTGAGGAAAGTAAGTAAACTTGTATATTATATTAAAATTGAAATTAAAAACTTTTGCTGTAATCCACATTTATTTTAAGGCGAAAATGACGTAGCCACTAAAGATTGGCAGCAGCGTTTTCGCTGGAAACGTGTGCTTACACCGTCAGGTCCGCAACCGCGGCCTCGACATGGCCATCGTGCAGTAAACATAAAGGAATTGATGGTTGTATTCGGTGGAGGTAATGAGGGGATCGTTGACGAGCTGCACGTTTACAATTCAAGTAAGTTGTAATATCAGTGCACATATTAAATTAATAATTAAATAGTAGGCAGTTTATGTACTTTGTGATCGCTCGATAATAGTAACATTCATTAAAGCGAACTTCGGAATCCGTTTGAGTTTTATCTTGTCCGTAAATTATATGCAAAAGAATATAAAAGCCGCGTACAATTGAGCATTAAAAACCTTAAATCGCTGCGCCTGACGCAATTCTTTAGCTATTTTAGTCACAAGATATAAAACTGGTTTTGCTTAATTTCCATCTAAAGCCTTAAAAATGGAGCGATCTGAAATGTAGACGTATGTAATCCAAATTTGTCATAATAAATATGTATGTCAAGTGAATCGCTTTCTACCAATTTTCATCACAAAATCCTAAAAACCGATTCCATGTAGACTTTTTTTTGTTGAAAAAATTTGTATTGGAGGACTTCCTAAATGTTATCAAATCCCAGCCAAACTTTGCATATTCACTCATTTCTTGCACTCAGGTAAAACACATGAGTAGACAAAAAATAAGGGGATCCTCAAAATGCGTAGGAATATCATAACAAATTTTTTTTTGTTAACTTTGCTTAAAAATATCATTAATATTCGATGGCAAGTCCAAGTCATTTGTATTATTAGTTTACGAAACCGAGTCTTCCGTAATTCTTGGAAATTATCGTTTTCAAAATGAATAAATTTACCTAACAAAGAATTTGTATAAAACTATGTTTCGCAGATTATTTTAAAGTGTTGAGAAATTATTATGCTGGTGAAAAAATCCAATCGAAGGCAGACGTGCGATGCAAAGGCTTTAAAAATTGTTGAAGCAGTTGAAGACGACTGCTGGAATATCAACAAAGTCAAGATTGTTGTGTTCAGCAGACGTCAATTAAACATTAGAGATTTTGTAGGTATGGTTAAAATAGCAATTGAATCAATCTAAACAATTCTAAAGAACGGCTTGCTGTTGTGTCGCAAGTTAATTTTCTTGTAAGAAAACTCGTTGTGTCCAAGTGGTTGAAGAGATATTTCGCATAGGTAACGGTGGTATGTGATACATATTCACTAGTTATGATGTATTTACGCTTACGCTCCAAAATAGCTCAACATTCAAATGAATATCGTGTCAAACTGTTTCTGTGTTTATCGTGATGTTCATTGTCAAAAGGCCCAGTGTGAATACAGAGATTTTTGTTTGAGCTTTATTAAAAATAGGATTAGCTTTAGTATTATAATTATTTATTTATTTTATTAATTCTTTGCATTTCATAATCGAAACTATAATTGATTAATGTCTGGTTAATTTTACGCGTTATACGTCCGTCACGTAGGATAGAACAACAAGGGCTAAATTTCGTAGTGTAAGAAGTAATGTAGCACATGAGTATAAAGTGCATTATGAAAAAACTCATAAGCGCGGGACTAAAAAAGTATAAAAGAGAGTAGGTCCATAATTTGGCTGTAAACCCTTACATATTTTGACATGATTTAAAAAAAAAATATTGCGAAGTAAGCTGTTAAATTGTGAGAAAGCAAAATGTCAAGAATGCTGCGGTCGTAAAGACTACATATACCTAATTTTCGAAGTGAGGTATGGCGAATAGAAGTGGCAACATTCGGACAGGCAAGTAAGATATGATCAGGAGATTATAAGACCCCACACGTATATAAAGAACTATTCACTACATTAATTTTGAATAGTTGATCATTACATCCCATGTGATTAAAAGTCAGTTTGTTAATAAGGCAAATAATGTCACTTCTGAGTCCGCAATTGACAAACCAAGCAGCTTTATTTATTGGTAGAAATAAAGAGTATAAATGATGACCATAAGATGAATTATGCTGTCGTTGTTGCGAAAAAAAAACTGTGTGTTTCTTGTCGATTACCATGAAATCTGCAGAAATCAGAGCACAACCATTAGACTGAAATGTTGCCAAGAATAGCCATATGACTGGGCACCCAGAGAAAGTGAAAATAAAATCCATCAAATTTGGAGCTATAAAGTAAGGATCTGATTTCTTATATGTGCGGGTGAGTTTTTTCTGAGGTCAATGATGAAAGCGTATGAGACAAATGTACTGCCTCACACTATAAGGGATTTCTCTTGAAGCTGAATACTCGCTAAGTGGATGGCTTCTAAGATTGCATGACATTCAGCCGAAAAGTAAGAGAAGTAAGCTTCTATATGCATATATGGAAACCAGAAATCACTGCTTACAACATCGGTTTTCGATCCATCAGTAAAGATGAGTGAAAAATGCTTCTAATTGATATTGACCAAGACCAAAAGGAATTTCGAATAAGCAAGATACATCATTTCTTAGAATATCGAAATTATTTTGTCACAGAAAATTTTAAAAAGGGAAGGCGAGGAATTGAGTGATAGAACGTCGCAAATGAAAGGTAAGGCCGGATGATTCTCAAGATAGAATTTTATTAGATGAAATATTGCCGAACAGACGAAATCTTTCTTATGGAGGCATAACATTTGCCATCTGTTCCAAGCTTAGTATGTGGTTAGCTTTCATGCCGCCAAGACCAAGACGAAGGCATTTCCACTGAAGTCTGCATAATTTTAGAAGGTCTTTATTTGAAATTCCCAATAAGAGCGAGCAGGCGTACTCTAATTTTGGCCTGACTAATCTGCGATATAGTTTAATCATACAAAGAGGATCGGAACAACAACAGATGCCACAAATGGATTTCAGTACGTTAATGAATTGAAAATATTTTTCGCAATTTTGTCAATGTGAGCAGCAGCAAAAAGTTTCAAGTGTAGGATAAACAGAATAGAAGAATCGTGAATGAGAAGAAGAGTAAACATAGGGTCTCCCCTTTTTTTTTAAAAGACCGCGCATTTGTTCTTATTATCTGAAAGTGTGAGTTGGAATGTCTCGAGACGGGAGGAAATAGTGCTGAGAGCACATTGCAAAGTACGCCTAGACAAATCTGAGACATTGGCAGGAAGCTGAAAATTTTGTTAATTAAATCAAAGAAGACTTAATATATAGCCTTGAAAAACATCTCTGAATGATCTCCTGTGTTAGACGTCTTCATGTCCTTATAAAGAAAGAGGTCGTATAATAAATTACACAATCTGTTAGGAAGCTTCAGCGCGGGTAAAATAGATTTTAAGATGTTATTGTTAACATAATCGAGTTTAAGTCCAGAGAGCAGGCAATGAGAGTGTGATCCTGAGGAAAGGCTGAGTTAACTGCAGACCATAAAGTAATACTGTTGACTTGGGTGGACCTGGGACGCTTGAAACCAAATTGAACATTGCTGAGAATGCACTCAGATTGGAGATACGATTCTAGGCGTGAGTATAACATTTTCTAGAAGATTTCCCTAAGGGTGGAAAATAAAACAATACATCTGTAGGAGTTGAAATTAATGGGCAGATTATTATTTTTTCTTGGACTGATAATTTGAAAGTCGTACCAAAAAGAGGGTACGTAGTCGGTGATTACAATGTTGTTAAATTCCTGAGTAGAATTAGCTTATTTTCAATGTTCCAACGCCTTGAGCTGACTGTTACAAATGCTATCTAAGCCTGCAGATCTGTTTTTTGGGGAGAAATCGCGTTGCTCATCAAGTGATACGGAGATCATTGCTGGACCACAAGTTTATCACACAATTCATTAAAGCGTTATGCGGTTATAAAACAATGGGAGGAAGTAATTCTATAAAAATTTTCATAGTACGCCAAAGATATGGAACGGACGTTTCACTATTAAAATCTCCACAAAATTTTTTCCAACGCTTATGTTTTTCCACTCTGGAAATGCATGTGGCATGGACTAGAACTTTGGAATTTATTGTAGAAGGAAACATTTTATATTCATCTACAGCGAGTCTAAGTGTGGTAGCAACTCGGTTGCAGTCGGTATTGTACCAGGTATTAGGAGGGTTAGATTTTTTGGAAACCTTTCGCTCAGAAAACGCGGACTGGATTTGATACATTTTGGAACTCGGTTATGTGAAAAGTGGGTGGGATGTAAGTGAAGACTAATTTCAATTAATCAATGATAGAGGGAGATAGTATCATTAAGAGATTTCCAGGTACTTAGAGAACTAAGGTTAAGTGTACACATCGAGAGATCTATGCGGGAGAGGACGAAATCGAAATGAACAACATTACCGTTATTTAATAAAATTAAGTTTTTACTTTCAAGAAAATCTCTAATTTGGTCACCTCTCGAAAAAACACTACCCGAACACACGTTGTGAGCGTTAAAATCTCCACATATTCACGCGCACATGTCAGATCTGAAAGAGAATAAATTCTTGAGGGCATATTGTCAAATAGTACAATTAGGAAACAACTTATGATCCAAAGCTCCCCAAACGGTGTGTGAATATTACAGCTACAAGCTTTAATCGGCTCTCAATTTGCAAAATTAGAAGCATACGAGAATGAAACTTTATTAGATATAAGGGTCGCCACATTACCATCATGACAACAGTTGGAGGTACGATCAAATCTTACCACATTATAATTTTTAATAGAAAATTATGAGACTTAAGCAAAGTTTCAAAAAGACACGCCATGGAGATGTTGTTACGGTAAAGATATTGTTCAAGCTGTTTGGATTTATTACAAACGCTAGTGCAATGAGAATTAGAGTACCAACCATCAACGATTAAGTATGCTCTTATGAAGACCGTGAGATAAACGCATAGCAGAGATAATAATAGAGTTTGTTTTAGAGGAGGGCTTGACACTATGTAATTTTTGAATAAGTTCAAAACTTAAAAAATTTATTACCTCCCTTCACAATGTTATTTACAGCTCTCAGTTTAACCATTTGCTTTTTGAAATTTCCTCATGAGCTCTGACAATTAGTTAAAAGTTATAACGCATTTGACATCGTTATTTATTTAGGTGTTGCCATTTATCATCCGAGTTGCCGATATATACCATGCGATATTTAAAATTTGTACGTACGCACACTAAAAAGTTAATATAATTCTGTATACGGCAATTCGAAACAATATCTCTTCGAAAAAACGAGGATCAGAATATATGTTGGCAATTTTTGGAATAATATAAAATATGTACACTATTAGCAAACGCCCAATGCTTTTATTGAAAATAGAAATAGAATTTATTGTGTTAAGGTACAAAAAGTCATATCATCCATTTCGATTTAAGAATATTCGGCCGTTGTTTCGGTGCCTTCTTATCAATGGTCGATTGATCAAAAACACACCGTTCAGAGAAATTTTTTTCTTTTTGCTTTACGCGACCTGCCTAATTAGTTTTTTTCCGCCATGACTTAATCTGGTACGGCTACTATCATTTTATAAGATGCTGAAGTGATCAAGGTGGTTTCTTTAGTTAGATTAATTCGTGGTTGGGTATCCGCTTCGTACCTATTAAAATGGGTCAACTTTAATTTTAAATTGGTCGGCATGACATTGTATTTGTTCAAAACGTTTTCAAAACTTGTTCAAAACTGTTGTTTAGTTCGATCATGCCCATGCTTTACAGTACTTATTACCGCTTCCATCAGTTTCCTGATTTTATTAATAAAGTGAAAAATAGGTTATTATTATGCAAATTTTTATAAATAGGAGGTATGCTACGTAAGAACATTCATTCTTACTGATTTGCAGTAAAATTATAGCTAAGAAAATAGCTAAATAAATACCAGAATGTGGGATGACGTTATTTTTATTGTATTGCGCTTTCATATTATTGTGGTATATGGTGAAAATTTTTTTAAAGACTCCAGTGAAAAATTTGTAGCATCTTTCAAGCATATTATTGATTGCAAAAGTTCGCAGTTATAGAACTTTTATTTTTCTATATATTTATTAATCCCATAAAGCTATTTCATAAACGGCACACGAGTCATGACGACGGCATTTGCTGAAAAAGAAGAAAGTGAAGTTTCTTATATATATATACATATGTTTACATAATTATTTGAGTTTATTCTTGTATATAATTATAATTTAGAAGTCGTTGCTTTTTTGAATACTTTATGCTTAACAGTTTCGAACCAATGGTATGTACCAGTTATGAAAGGAGACGTCCCGCCTGGGTGTGCAGCATATGGATTTGTTTGCGAGAGTACTCGACTGTTTGTGTTCGGTGGTATGATTGAATATGGAAAGTATTCGAATGAGTTATACGAACTACAAGCCACCAAATGGGAGTGGCGCAAAATGTATCCCGATCCACCAGACAACGATCTTCCGCCATGTCCACGTTTGGGTCACAGCTTTACATTGGTTGGCGATCGTGTGTTCTTATTTGGCGGCTTAGCAAATGAATCGGATGATCCGAAAAATAATATACCTAAGTATAAAAGCAAAAATGTGTCTCATAATCCGCAGTTTTTAAACTTCAATATTGTGTAGATATTTAAATGATTTATATATATTGGAAACTCGAGGAGTTCACAGTCATAGTGGCAAATGGATTATACCAAAAGCATACGGTGAATGCCCGCCACCACGGGAATCTCACACGGGTGTTTCTTTTACATGCAAAAGCACAGGACAGTTGAATTTACTTATTTACGGAGGCATGAGTGGCTGTCGTTTGGGTGACTTATGGCTTCTAAATGTTGGTAGGTATTCAATTAGTATTGTGTTGTATATATGTTATTTTTTAGTTGCCTCATTCAAATATTCTGGAAAAACGCAGATTCTATGAGCTGGTCTAAACCTAAAACTCGTGGGAGGGCCCCTTTACCGCGTTCACTCCATAGTTCAACTATGATCGATAATAAAATGTATGTGTTCGGAGGTTGGGTTCCTTTGGTAGTGAACGATTCTAAAGCTACGACGGAAAGAGAATGGAAGTGCACCAACACATTAGCAGTCTTAGATTTAGGTAAATGTGTTGTTTTCAGATAGTAAGCTTGAAATTCATTTATTTTTTATTATATGTATTTATTTTCAAATTTAAAAGACACAATGATTTGGGAAAACGTTACAATGGATTCTTTAGAAGAGGACGTGCCACGTGCTAGGGCTGGTCATTGTGCTGTCGGAATCAACAGCCGGTTGTATGTATGGTCTGGTCGTGACGGTTATCGAAAGGCTTGGAACAACCAGGTCAGGGTAGGCTCATCATAATGAAAACAATGAAACACAAATACATTGTCCCCAAAAACATTTTATCATTAAGCAAATCTAGTAAAATGTTCAGGGAAAACAACTTAAATGGCTTATGTCTATCATTAAACATATTCCTTCCCAATCAAGGAAGAATGAGAGCAAGTCGATTCAAACATCTTTTAAATTTTGTACTTATAATTTTTGTAAGATCCAGTTTCGTTCTAAGCACAAAAAGATGATTTTGTTGGAAAATTTATATATGACTGAGTTATTAACAATTTTATTCAACGTTTTTAGGTGTGCTGCAAGGATCTTTGGTATTTGGAAGTTTCAAAACCACTTTATGCTAACAAGGTTGCCTTAGTTAGAGCTTCCACTCAAGCATTGGAATTGTCATGGACGTCAACTATTTTTTCAAGCGGTTATGAACTACAAATTCAAAAAATTGAGCCTCCATTAGCACTTAAAACGGCCTCGATTGCTGCTGCGGCAGTTTCGCCGAATTTGCAGCAAAATACGAACAGTTTAGTCCCCCAGTTAATGACTAATGGTAACAGCAATATAATGTCATCTGCTCCGATATCGCCAACCACGACGAAATTCCAACGAATTCACACTCCGACAGTTATACCTGCGATCGCGGCGGTTTCAACTGGATTATTGGGAGCTTCTACGCAGCAAGCATTATCTCGCGCTAACACAGGATCGTGTCAAGCGTTAGGAAATAAGTTAGTAACAGCTAACACTAACCAATCCCATATACACCTTCAGCATCAAAAGCAACAACATACGTCGACTGTATACGTTGCTCAATCGCAAATTCAACAAAATATTCAACATTCGACCGGAATCAAAACTGGTATTCCAAGTGTTTCCACTCCAATTCTAACAACTTGCAATGTAGCCGGAGCAGCTGTTTCTAATCCGCAGCAAAAAGATCAACAGCAGCAACAGTCTGTTTCTAGTATAACAGTTGTAAATAATACGACAAATATAACAACTATACTTCAGAAATTTCGGCCAACTTCAGTAGTATCTCGACCATCTACTACAATTACGACAGTTAATTCCATTGTGTCGCCCGTTACATCGAATCACATGCTTATTACTTCCGGTAACACGGCAACTACGGGGGGGCTGCGTGTAATAAATACCGGACAAGCAGCAGTGGTATCTACGGGCACTGGAAATTCTACGGTTCGATTATTGTCTAGTAACAATGCATGCCAGACATTAAAACTAACTTCTAACAATAATGCGGCCGTATTAAAATCTACGAATCAGCAATCGATTGCGGCTACCGCGGCGCAAGCACACCAAACCAATACTAGTGGTAGTACCACATCTACTACTATAGGTGGTAAACAGTTTATAATACAAAAACCGTTGGCTTTAGGATCTAATGTACAATTTCAGTTAGTAAAAACTAGCAGCGGAGGTGTTGCAGTACAAACTTTGCCAAAGGTTAATTTGAGCATATCCAAAGCTGCCGGACATGCAGGAAGTGCTGTTACAGCCATCGCAGCTAATCTGGGACATACTGCAAGCCACACCGCAACACAACTTGTGGCAGCAACTTCACAGACAAGTGGAACAAATCCTATATCACAAAATAAGCAGCAATTTATTGTAAGCAGCGGAGTGGGAAATACAATTTCAAGTTCCGGAAACGCTGCGATTGGAACCGTAACCCAGGCCAAACAAATTGTACCTGGAAGCGTCGTAAAGCTAGTTTCTCCACACACTATCAGCGGTGGTAAAGTAATTATGAAGAATCTGCAAGTAGGAAAAGTAGCTTCGAATATAAGCGGCAAACCAGCATTTGTTATAACTAACAAGCATGGTCAACAATTAACAAATCAGCAGATAATCATCGTGACTACGGGTTCAGGTATTCGAACTATTCCCGCAGCAACCGTCGTTACAAATGCTAGCAACAATATTGTTTCCCTTGTAGGCTCAACAGCGACTACTGTGTCGGCGCCAGTTATAGCTAGGAACGTTGGCGCGCAGCCAGCGGTTAAAATGATACGTAGTGTATCTACTGCCGCTGTTCGGCCTATAACTTTCTCAATGTCCAACACGGGAATGTCAAACAGTGTAACCACAACCCACGCGGCTCAACAGCAAAGCCTAATTCAAACACAAACTTTACAACAAAATCAGCCCCCAAAATTCAATGCCCTGTCTGGAAATGCTGTTCATCAGAAAACTATTACATTAGGAGGAAAATCAGTCACGGTTCAAATGTCGAATTCTGCGACGATCGGAAGTATGTCGAAAACCTTAGCTATTGTTGGTTCAAATGCGAACCAGTCTCACTCGCAAAATCAGCTGATAACGACAAGCGGTACATCTAACAATTCTGGAAAATTAGTTGTTTTGCCCAACAGTGCGGCTAATTCAACCAAAAAGGGTTTCGTTAATATCTTCAATACTGGCAACTCAATACAAAGAACCATCGCATTGTCGAAAGGGACAATTGTTCATACAAGCCAGCAGCAGCACCAACAACAACAATTAATAAATAACGCTTTAGGAAAGAAATCGTCTGATGGATCCAAAGACAGCATTGCTCTAAATATAGCTGATCAGAACTTCCCAGATAATGAGTCGATGGATGACATTATTGAACAGTTAGATGGTACATCTGAAATAGTTTATGAAGGTGATGAGGAAGATCTTGACGGAGTACCTATCAAATTGTCGGATCAGATAAGCAACCATATGAAACCGTTTGAAAATATACTTGATGTGGTCTATGATGACAAGTTACCATGTGCACTATTTAAAGTAGCAGGCAAATCGAAAACCATGAATAAGTGTAACAATTTTTCTACGAATAAATATCCGACGGTATGAAATAGAATTATAATATCCAACTCAATTATCATCGGCAACCTTTTCCTCATGTCTATTAGTTTAAAAAGTCACAAAATGGGAACTTTTCAGGAGTTTTCTTATCTAATATTCTTGCTAATAAAAGTGTTGACAAAATCTGCGACTTTGAAAATACGTGCAGTAGTATCCACAGTCAAAAATCTGTTGCAGGTCTTGAAGTTTGTTGCTTGTTATTAATTTTTGCAAGTACGTCGACGAATACGGTAAGGTAAGGCAATGCATGTTAAACTCTGACATAAATTAGGATTTTAAAGGCATCATTTCAGATCCTATTTACAACATATCTAGAGATATACTATGAAATCTCATCCCTTAAAGATTACATAAAATACCGAAAATTGTTCTATGATCTGGGAACAAGCGAATCTAGCAACTACTTCGGTATCTAACATTTAAAACCATTTTACTGTATTATAACAGCTGTGAAGTTCCGCTACAGCGAACAACCGTTGCATCGTTACCAAGAGAATTTAAAATGTTACCTGCATTAATGCTTGCAAGAAAGCATTCTTGAGAATAGATATTGCAAAACTGTAGCTCAAGTGACTAATCCGCTAACGATTAGCTTACGCCAGCGAGGATATCACAGATGAGCAATTATCTTATTAATATCAGTCACATATGAAGACATGTTAGTAGTTTTATTGCAAAAGGTTGGCATTTGCATTTTTTTTTTTGTGGAAGTTACTGTCGACACTCGCAATGGCAGTAAATATATAAATAGGAATCAGCATAAGTAGATATACTTAAATTCTAAGGATATTTGAGTTCGTACCTATGTGTAGCTAAAAATGTCATTTGAAATTTGCTTTGTCTTTCAAATATATGCAGTAGACCACGGTATCAATTAATCTCCAACAGTTTCTATGTCACCATATTTTTTATTTTCTTTCTTACAACGTACCGCAAAACCTCATGCTTGAGTTGTTGCCTGATTTAAAATCGTACGCCCTTAAGTTCGTACGTACGATTTGTATTAACGAAAAATCTAAAGTCGCCACATAGCTGAAAAATAATTCAAACGTTTAAAACAATGTAAAATTAAACTTACGATCGCAATCTATTTCCTCCTTTTATAAAGTTCATGCCACTCGAATTTCATAATAGACGGACAAATGTTCTGATTAGATCATTTATACTACAATAACTAACGAAAGCCTCTACAATGAGTCCGTTAAAACTGAGATCTACTATTCATTATACTTTAAACTCAGTGGGTTCTAGATTCTGTTAATATCTTTACGTCCGATATGTATATAAAATCCCTTTATACAAAAAATTGACAGTTGATTATATAAACGTAATTGATGCACAAATGTAACTTATTTATATTGAAGTAATTTAGTTAGTATAAAACAAAGTTCACATCCATTATAAAAAATTTACTTCGATGAAAAAGTATGTAAAATCCCATCTTTCTATGTTGTAACACTTTATTAAAATAATTTCTACTAAATGTAAATAAAGTAATTGTTGGAAAAATTTTACGTATTTATTTTGAATTTCATACTACACCAATAAAATGTTTTTGTGAATAAAATAAACGTACTCCTAAAAAACTTCGATTATAGGGGGGTATTTCCAATGCAAATATGTGTTGCATCAATGTGTAAAGTCGTACTTATTTAGCCATGTCTATTGGTAATTTATTTATCCCTTATAATTATGGACACGCAAACTTAGACCATGTTAAATAACAAAATTGGTTTTGAATTATTTATCATAAGAAAAGCCGACGCCGAATTTAGGCTGAGGACGTAACATTTCTTTCGTTAAAAGCTCAACGAGCAAGCGTGAAAGATGGCAGCTGATTTTCTCTCAAACGACTCAGCGTTAAATACGATCTATTTTGTCAAAAACAATAAATTCAGCAGCATGAATCGAAAAGCCTATATTCCAAAAAGCTTTACAGAGGAGTTTGGCAATATCCCCATGGGATATCAAATGAATCATATGATTATGTCCACCAAATCTGATATCTTTATCAGATCACCTACTAGAATCAACTGCAAAAATCCAGCGGATAAGATGTTTATTTCGACAATAAGCACCAAATTATGCTTTAAAAGCAACCTAATCCTAGAATCTATCAAAATTAATTATTCAATCTGCCCATAGACTATTTTATTTCTAACATTAAGTAATGTCTCAAGCGGTATGGGTTTGGGCAACAGCAAAATCCAAAGACGTTGAGTGCTTGAATTGTGGTAAAACCCCACAAATTCGTGAAGTGCACGTAAACAACTTGCATTACTCCAAAAGTCACGACGTGGTAATTGTCGAAAAAGCAAAAGTAAACAAAACATCAAGAAAACAATGACTAACTCAAATATCTCCTATAAAGAATATAGAAATAAGTATCCACCCAATTATTTCAAGTGTCTTGATAACGATAGCTTTGACAGCGCGTTTCCACCGTTAATAAACCTCATATCCATTATTCCCTCTAAAAGCCCTACGCAAGAAATTAATAAGGCCTTAACATGAAAAAATTTTAGTTTGGTTGTCAAAAATAATATTAAAATCACAAATTCGGCTCCTACTATCGGCACGTTTTAACTCAAGGTGCTCGTCTAAACTTAACAGAACAACTAACGTTTAAGTTTTCATTCTTAAGTAACAAAGAAACATTTCTCAAAGCTCTTCCCAAGATGTTAGATATCTGGTCTGGTATAATATTGCATCTAATTCTTTTAAAGGTTCTGTAGGCGATGCTTCGTCCGTTAAATGATCACTTCCCTATAAATATAATGTACAAAGCGTTCGGACGAATACCCTATCTTTACACTAATTTTTGGACGCAGAAGAAATTGACTTCTTCTAAACGGACTTTTCTTGTCGGTGAAGCTGCTTCAATTTAATATTGCTTTTATGGCGAATTCATCTCACCCAACAGGAAAAAACGCTGCGAATGCTATCGCCAGATTTGCTACTGCAAACAAGGTCAATTTTACCTTTTATTGCAACGGAAGGGGTATTGTTTCTATCAATGTTTTTGATCTTACTTTCACTAACTCCACTACTTCAACGCACACTACTGCGTTAGGCAAAAGCCATCGCACTCCCATAATTTTCTAAGCAAATCCTGGTTTACAACAAAAAATTGATAATTTTTTGTAGACGTTTCTTGGACAGTCTGTCGAAAGTCAAACTATATTTAGATGTGTCCATACAGAAAATTTTTCAGCCCGAAGTCGCTGCTGCTTGAACTAATTTTAATAGCGTCGATGCGCACACACCAAACCAATAACGGAGCCGCTCTTTGTCCGCCTTCTTCCGCAAATATCAGGCCTCAAAAAAGTAAACAACTATCCTTCCTGAATAAATTATAAGAAGTTTAGAATAAGTCAAAATAAATGGAAATCAAAAAGAAAATACCGATCATGCACCAGTGATAAGATCTGTTTCAGTGGAAATCTTTAATACTTTCGGTCAGGTATAAGTGGTAATCGGTGATTCGATCACAAACCATCTATATATGCTGATTGTCAATGAGGTCAGCGCACCATCTATTCCAACTACGGGTCCGAATAGCTTGCGTTTTTTTCTTTTCTCTCTTTCTCTTATGGTTTAATGGATAAATTGCTCACTAAGACCAGCCGTTTAACTCTTTCCTCTGCACATCAGTGTTGAACCAACAATATCGGCAGCGGCTCATGAAAGTTATACCGATTCCGAACCTACGCAAAGATTTAAATGTTAACCACAGACCGACTTTTTTGATCTTCATAAAGTGAACTAGTTCCACGATCAAGGAGACGCTAATTAACTCATAGATTCTAAACACATTACTCCGGCTTGTTTTTTCGCTTATCAAAAACATAGTAGGTAAGAAAGTTGTTACACTCTTTTTATGCATCAGCGAAGGTTATGATTGTACGAGTTCGGTAAAACTTGGCAAAATTGTACTCAATTTGGTGATTCCACTGCACTTAATGCCACGGATTTTGAACCTTTTTTTCGAAACATGTACTGGTTATAAGTTGCGCTACAACGGGAATGTTTGGAGGATTACCCAGGATCGCTGCTTAAGTTCTATTATTTTTAATCTGTACGTTGCTAAAGTGCATGAATTTCAAAATTACAAGACACATTTCTCAATACGCTGATGATTTCTTAATTGTTTATGGGTAACATGCACAATAACTTCTACGTAGTAGTTTATAATGCGACTCTATTATGTATCGTGTTGTTGAATTCACGCACTATTTATTTTGTTGCCTGCTTACTCACTTCTTCGTTTTGCTAAAGTTCCTTAAACGTTATATATCAACGGGGCTATCTCGTACTGAAAGTTAAATTTCGGATCACGGCGAAGCTGACAGTTGATAAATATTTTTTTGCAATGACGTAAGACTAATTTTCGTTACTATTATTCACGTGTAAATGGAAAACCAGATAAATATAATACATATTGGTTTGTATATATTTCTGATTGTCAAAATCCAAGAAATAACAGCTGGTTCTTCTCTTCGATAAATTGGCAAACGAACCGTTGATGAAGTAGTGACCCGCTTTTAGCTAAACGTTTGGGTGGACCACGAGCCATTGAAAATGGCTACTTCCTGATGTAAGAATCGACGCCCGCTTGTATAAACAAATTTCTTTAAAAGGTATAAGGTGAGATAGGTTTTAATGCATTTTTTAAACTGCCAATTATATCACTTCTTACAACAATAGAACCACGCCTTTTCGTGTTTACGCCGCAATGACGATAAGAATTCTTCTCAAATTATATATATTGAATACTTATATATCGGTGGCTTTTCAAAATTTGTAAATTGAAAATCTAATGATGATTACGATTAAAACCAAGACTTAATCTAATGAAAAGGAAAGATTTTAAATGCAAAATTGTTGGTAATGCTTTGTGCTGTCTTCTTATGGCTTAAAAATCTTTCTGCACTACAATTTTGGCGCTCCGGTCGAACTTCTCGGTACTAATGTAATATCCCCCAACGCATTGTCGTAAGTAAACTTCTAATTCAATTCAATTTTCTGTTTGTTTCTATTTGTTTAGGAACCCCAGTTTAATAGATATAGCGTCTGAGGACGACATGCCGAGTACAATTAAAGTACACGCATGTGGTTTATACGAAAGTTCAATGTGCGTTTTTTTTCGTTAGGCGCAGCTAGTAAAATGGAGGATAAGAGAGGAAGCCGCCATTTGATAAGACGCTTCCAAGCGGCCTTCCAACATCTATTAAGAGAACAAAGTCAATTATTAAAGGAGAAAGCCGAGAACGATGGGTCGTTCAACGTTAGGGTACTGAAGCTGAAGAAAAAGGTCGATTTTTGCCATATCCCAAATCATTTCGAAGACTATGAAGAGGAACTTCTTTAAACCCCTTCTGTTCCTACTCTGTTCTGATCTAAATGCAGACCATTTATGATAACAAACTTTGAATTCTATATTCTTATATGTACATATACATTTCTATTACGAAGTGTTTTAACGAATTAAAGAAATGAATATTTAATGAAATAGAAATAATGAAAAACTTACTGTGAAAGTATTGACGCTATATTATTTCTTATCTATTTTACACGTTTTTAGGTAGCATAAGGGAATTGAAGGCATCCAGCAGAACCCTTGTTCGTCTCATAAGAATTCCCCGTGGTAAAATTCGATCTTCTTCCGTCGAATGGCATAAAATGATGTGTCGAAACATTCTGCCTGATATATCTATATTAATTTTCACTAAACGATTATATATTAATCTTTAACAGTATATCATTCACCTTCAACAAATTCACATTTCTTTTATTCATTTTTGTTTTTTAGTTTGTTGAGATTAAATAAACTACTCAAAAAAAAAAGAAGACTGCAAAAATCCTAAGGGAAAATTTTTCTTTTTTTGCAATTTTCGCTTCTGTGACTAACTCAGATTTTTTTTGTCAATAATTTCCTGTTTTATTTGTTAATTATTTTTTGGTTTTTAATATTTTTTCAATAATCACCTCTTTTCTCTTAAAATGGAATTATTTGTTTTGACTTTAAAATTTAATCATTTTACATATCTTGGATTGGTTCTGCTGCTTGCAAGTAAAATTTTTTTAGTTGGTACTTATTTTGTATTCAATTTACAGCTATTTTCTCTCACAAATGCAACTCTAAACAACCAATACCAGCGCAAAACGTAAGCTCTTTTGCTTTCGCTTAACTTGACAAATATGAGAAATCGTAGTAGCTATTTGCTTACGCGACTCCAAAAAACCGATATTCCGAGGATAATCATGTATCTGCAAGTTATGTTATGTTTTCGGCTGGTTTGGGATCGCGTGTGTGATAGCATCCAGCATAGATTGATTACTTTCGGGTTTTTTCGACCATTTCCCATTGACTCCATTCAATAGCAACAAACTAAAAAAAAAGAAATAAATAAAAAAATTTGAATTTCTGAAAGGCAAGTGATATATTGTTAAATATTAATAAATAATCGTTTTGAGTTAATCAATGTATAAATGCTATACGGAGTGATTCGTCATATCATTTTATGGAAAAAGATTGGACTATACGACAGAGAAATGTTATCAGGCGGAGAAGCTCTTTTCGGGATGCTTCCAATTCTCACACGCCACAGGAAAACGTGTAAAACAAACAATACCTTCACTGTAAATTTTTTATTGTTTTTATTTCATTAATATTCATTTCATTTTTTCATTAATATGTTTCATCATAGAAATAAGTCCACGTATATATTATATGTATAAATAATACACATATAAAAATAAAAAAATGTAAAATTCAAAGTAATATAAAGAGTTGAAATGATATTCATTTAGATCAAATTAGACTGGAAGGGTAAAGGATTGTGTTGTTGTGGAATTCTTTTGAATTTAAATTAGAACTTATGTTGTCTCACAGTTTGTTTAGCTTTTCACACCACGCAGTTTTATTTATAGTTTCATGCTTCATTTCGGAATTGTCTGCAAGGAAATACAGCGGTTGCTGCATTTTATAACTTATATTTTAAGAAACTTTTTATAATCCATACGCCTGGTGCACCGATGTTTTATGACGCCTACTCATAAAATGTAAGGATTATATGCTTCTATTGTATAGCGTTATTTGCAGTTAATTAATAACTCCAATAATACCAATAAATTTGTTATGTCTTAATGTACACTGTAAACTAAATTTCAGATACATGACTTACCCCCAATACCAACTGCGACATTATTTGATAAAGCTGTTGTTGAAAACCTCGCTGCTGAAGCCAATCTTTTCTATAATTCCTACGTTGATTTCTTAACACTTTAATGCTAACAAAACTAATCATCTTTTCTATAGAATTAAAAACAATCGTAAACCTATCTATTAATGGAATCGGAGTGGAAGAAAGCATTTCGTTTCCTGAGGAGAATCATTAATGAAAATCAGACTTTGCAGGCTTGCCCCCTCAAAATGTCCTAACAATACATAAGTCTCTAGGTCGCTCAAAAATAGAACTTTCGAAATGCGATTTTTCAATGCTTGAATGATGAATACAGAGTGATTACAGTTCGCAAAAAAAATCGTTTTTTGTACAAAATCCGCCCGTCCCGTATTTTTGAGTTACTGTTGTAGTCCCAATTCAGAATCTGCGAGATTTAAATGTTCTGCAGACTCACGAATGGTCAATTTTATGACACAATATACATGAAAATGATTGGACGCTAACCATATGACACAAAAGAATAGGTTGAAGATGTAAATTTTTAACGGCCGTTCATCTGAAAATTATAGAATGTATTTTAAGGAAATAACATATATGAGTCCTTCATATGGATAGAATAGACGAGATCACTCTTCTTCTTAATAATCAGTTTAAAAAACTTAGGCAAAAAAAGCTACAAAACACTACACACAGCAAATTGCAAGAACTACAGAAATACAAAGATAAAGCTTTAACTACAAAACAAACATTCAAAATAAAATATAAAACACAAAAAGATCTCTTAGAATTCAGGAATTTCTTAAAATCGCACGGCGATAAAACCGGAATATATTATAAATACCACAGCCCCCAACATGGATTTCAATTTGGAAATAGGTCCCAAAATGATATCAACTCTTTCCTCAAAGTAATTGAAATTATACACACTACTCTAAAAGAGGAAGATAAAAGACAATTTATAGAATGCGGCTTCCATTATGAACTATCGTAAAATCTGCCAATCCACTTACAATTGACATCTCAACAATGATAGATTAAATAAAAACCAAGCTTGAGCGATGTGCCCAACAATACCCAATTACTTTCAATGCTATATCAAACAATGCAAAAATGTGACATCACAAGCTTCGAAGATAAAATGCTACATATCATAGCTGACTTAAGTTTGTAACGTCCGCGAACAGACTTAGGATAGGGTGTCGGTCGGTCCGTGTCAGCCAAAGACATTGCAGTAACGGCATCCCGTTATGCAAAATCGAGTGATTTTGCGGTTCTTTCCTTTTTTTTGTAAGAGTAGCGGCTAGCCGCTATGTAGCAATGCAAAAAAAAAAGAAAAAAGGAAAAAATCCTCCGAGGGGATAGTTTTAAGTGGAGTTTGGTTCTGGGAGTTGAAGTGAAAACGTCAACGAGTGCGCTTGCTTTTCGATTGTCTTTTGATTGTGTGGCTGAGCTCTGGCTGTTTTTTTCTTTTTTTAAATATGAGCCCAGACGGAAAGATGACCATTAAAAAAAAAAAAATATCAAAGAAAAGAAATTCTTAACGTGCGGAAACGATACATTTATAAAATTAATAAAATTGTGATGTGTTAAATATATCGAATAACCAACTCACATCTTTTAATTAAAATTTAAACGATAAATTTACCGAAATCCATTTTTCTAGACTTAACGCTACCAATAATAAGCTTACGAATTATTAATACAAAAATAACGGAAGAAAGACCTCCCAATGGAAAACCAAAAAAAGGAAGAATTAATAATCGAATTAATAAAAATGTTGCTACAAACAACGCTACAAAAGCAAAATAATCTCTTATGTCGATTGCTAAACGGTTTTAATGTTTAACCCATTTTAATTTCGAAGCTTTTTAGTTTATGAAGCACTGAATATGCAAAAGTAGCTTAAACGAGCTAACTTACATTAAAATGTGCTGTATATATTGTTCGTGCTAAAAGAAAAAAAACGATTATAAAATATCAGGGTTTTCGTAAAAAGAGTTACAAAACGAAAAATAAGTACGAAAATATTGTATATTCTCAAAGTAACTTTCTAAAAAATTTTTGTTTGGAATACATATGATTTTTGTACAAAAATTAATTTTTTTTTCTTATGTGAAGAAAAACTTTGAGTAACATTGGACCGAACAAATTGTTTGTCAACCTGTATATTAGTGAAACTCAGTTTCTATTTTTCTCCATCAAATTATTGAAATCCCTATAAAGTCAATCAATAGAGTGAAAAACAAGAGAAGCAGGAACAGGTGTGCAAGGAAAACGAAGTGAAGAGTTGAGTGTGCCGGTTGAATGTACCAAGCAAAGCGCATCGCATTCGTGTATGAATATATTATTTTTAAATATCATTGACGGTATGCGTACGAAAACAAAAAAAAGTAAAAATAAATGAAACAAAAATATATCTATGTAAATAACATAAAATTATGAAAATTTTGTATAAAGAAAACGTGAACTTCTGTAGGAAAATGAGTAGGCGATTGTTTTTTTATTTATTTTTTTTTTTGTCAATCGAGTCAGTTTTTGATTTTTTTTTTTGTTTTTTGGATTACATTTTTTGAGCAACAAAACATTTTTTTTCCGAAAATTTGTAAAAAATTAAAATAATAAAGGATAAAAGAGTCTAAACTGTTTTTCAGTTTGTATTGAAAATTTTGAGCAACAAAACAGTTTTTCAAGAAAAATTTGTATAAAATAAAGAATATTAAATTATAATAAAGTCCGAAAAAGATATATTGCTAAAAATCGGGAATGACTTCTATACGCATAATAAATTGGCTTGGCAGAGCTTTTTTGAGATATGCAAAAGTTACGCAAATTTCGGGAATCCAGAGAAGGTTCTTGGCGTTCCATAACGATTCACGAGTCACTAAAGGACTCGTTATTGGTGTGTACCAAAAAAAAGAAGGCAAGGATCCCAAACTGACACCAAGTGGAGAGAAATGTGATGACCGTGTACAAGACAAGGTGACTGATCTTGTTAAAGAATGCAATATCAAAGGTGCTCTTGGTAAAGGAAAAGTATTCAACAACGTCGACCAAAAGTATAGGTCGATAGCCGTAATTGGAGTAGGCCCTGAAGGTGCCGGATTCAATGATCTACAAATGATTGACGAATGCACGGAAAATATAAGAGTTGCCTCAGGGGTGGGAGCTTGCAGCTTGCAAATGTAAGGTTGTTACTGGCTGGCGAAGTAAGGTTACGCATTACACGCTCACATACACTACATTTCCACTTACATCACTTACATGTTATAAAAATTCTTTATGGCAAATTTCTATTATGAACCCTGCCAATTTCGGCGAGCTAGACACACTTCGGTAAGAGCCCTTTAAGTATGCTACACTTCTTATTACGATAGCTTTTGCGAAGTAATATACATTAAGAAGAAAATTGTTAATATTAAAATATTTAAAAAGAAAGAGAATTAGTATAAAGACATGTTAACACTAATATATGAGTCAAAATTGGCAGCCAACCTGCCTGCATCAGTTAAGTTAGAGAAATTTAAACATGAGAAGAGAAGTTTTTTGGATTATTTTGCTTTGTTTTTTTCTGAAATAAAAAAAAGGTGATATTAAAGTGTGTGTTGTTTATTTTCTTTACTTTGCCTGCATTGAGCAAATAATGCAATTATAATGAAAGAGAAGAAAAAGAAAATGTTGGAGAAGTACTATTTAGTGTACGGAGGCTCGCCTCGTTTTTTTTCGATTTCAATGTAAAGCAAAGGAATCTTTTCACTGTCTGCAATTGCACATACGTACATATGAAGATTTATTCAAGAAAATAACTTTACTAGCAAAAGTCAAACTGTAGACATAAATTTTTTTTACATACCTAAAACCCATGCATACGAATAATTATCAAAAAAAGATTCAAGCATTGTATTTTATAAACAAGCCTAGAAGAAATCGAAAGCAACAAAAAGGTAAACAATTGAAAGCAATTGAAAGAATAAAAAAAAACAATATTAACAACAACTTAACCAGTATTGGCACTGCAAAAGAACCGTAGGGGGATTTAGGACGGATACAGACGGACTCACTCTAGCCGGACAAACGACAGGCTACCGACATAAGACATTTTCTCTTTTTGTGTGTTTTTTTTTCTTTCTTTGTCATGCGGCTCAGAAAGGTAAGCCTCACAATAAACAAATCGCTCTACCGGCAACCGGAGCTAGAAACGTTACAAGTTATCTGTAAATAATAGAATTAGGTTCCAACCCAACAATTGAACAGATAAATGCCATCATCAACATTAGTGACATCTGCGCTTTATCTATATTTAAAACCGGAATTGACTATTTTATCAAACCCATTATATTTGCGGTAAACCATTTTCTGAAGCTATTAATTAATACTGCAACCAAGAATGAAAAATATGGTGAAACAAACACAAGCATAATGAGAATCAAAACTAACAACACTCCTATACACCCGACATTAACATTCCACATACGCATATACCTAGCTTCAATAATAGAAATAAAACATTATACAACAAACACTGTACAACAGCACGTACATACACTAAAACAATTGGAATAATAATAGCAACAAAATTTATAGCAATAGTCATTTCAACAGAAACTATAATTCTAACAGAAATAACAATTATAATTTTAATGACAATTTTAGTAGTAATCAAAATTATAACAAGAATTATAACAGTTACAGAAACCACCAAAAATACAAAAATAATACCAATTGTGATACAAACCAAGTAAATGGTTACAGAAACAATAAAACATACAACGATGACCACTCCAACATATAATAGGAGCAGGTTCAGGACAATCATTTACTATGGAACGTATTGAACTACCAGCGAGTATCGATAATATCAATTCAGACCTAAAATTCCACATCGTAGTTGGCAAAGACATAATATCCAGCCATAATAGGAAGTGAGCTTTTAAAAAAGCACAGGTAATAATAAAATAGAGGAAAGAAAGTAAAACTAATCTCGTAAGCACAAAAATATTAGGCAAAAATCAGGAAAGAAAGAAAAAGAAAGTGAAAGCAAAAGAAGAAGAAACAAGAACGTTGTATTCGATTATTAAAATATCTGGCGTCCTTTCCTTTTATTTATTGTTATAAAGAAGTGAACGGAATAAAATGAAATAAATCCGTCACCTTTTACTTCATTAAAAGGTATTGTTAAGGAAAATTAATCTATCACGTCATGATGTCCTCCAAAATTAATTAAAAATTAACGCACTTAGCTTTTCGCATTCTATTCTCGAAGCGCTTTCATTTGATACCCTTAGCGCTGATAGTAATAAGAAAAAATTAATCCACCAGGTCGTGGTGTCCACAATATTTATTTTAGAATTAACGATATATCTCCAATTGAGTAGTGTAAATATAAAATATGAAACTGTGATATATTAACATTTAGAAGTGTTAACAAAAGCTGAAGAAAATACAGCCATCAAATAGGAGGACATTAACATTGAATATCAGCGAGAACATAATTATAAAAACTGTAGCAAAGCGTGGTGGCCCCTTACTAAAATCTTAGTTAATCTGTTTATTAAAAGTAAATTAACTTTTTCTAATTCATGGAATTGTGTATACGTATGTTGCGTTATGAATGCTGTACATCTATACATGCGTTTTATTAGTCCTGCGTGTATATATTTACTGCTTCCTATAGCTATGTATATTCCTTTACAACATATCCCGATTTGTTAACATATATACACTAAATAATGTCTATATAAGATTATACCTACAAACATACTAAATACTTCTTGCTATACACATGTATATACAGTAAAACCTCCTTATTCGCGCTTCGAATTTCTTTATGTGCGGATTTTTTGTGACTTGTCACGGAATTGTTTTGTTTCTGTAGTGGAAACTTATTTAAAAAAATAGAATTTAGCCTTTAAAGCACTTCTAGTTTTGGACAATGTACCAGGTCATCCTTGCGAACTTGAAACTATGCATCCAAATATAAAAGTGACCCCAAGTCCCAACACGACAGCTTTGCTTCAGACTATGGTCCAGGCCTTTAAGCTCTATTACATTAGACGAACCTTTAAAATCATATTGGATAATATAGAATGTAATCTTGATATGAATGTTATGGAATGCAGGAAGAAATTTGACATAGCAAAATGCATCGTAAACATAAAAGAATCATTGGAAGAACTGAAGCCACACTCTTTGAAGTCATGCTGGTAAAAACTGTGGCCTGCCCTGACTGCGAACAATTATGAAGAATCTGTGCAAGTTCAAACTTTGACTGCAAACATAGCCGAAATTGCGAATGAATTAGGACGAGATTCGTTCGAACAGATAGAATCAAGTGACATTCAGGAATTGCTTGAATCGCAAGATGAAGATTTGACTGAAACCGACTTGGAGGAAATGTTAAATTCACAATCCATTGAAGAAGAGACTTCAACGAGCACTGGAAACGTGACACTTAATTTGAAAAGTCTTAGTGAAGGTTTAAGAATGGCAAATGAGCTTGGCGATTTTTTTATGAACATTGATCCGTCTATGGAAAGAAGTCTTATTTTTAAGAGGCAAATTGCTTATGCGACTGCTGCGTATCAGTCTGAATTGAAGGAGCTTTTAAAAACTGCCAACCAAGAGAAACTTACAAAATTCTTCAAACCATTGATTAAGCCTTAAAATAATTGATCAGAATGTTCAAAAACTTCAATTAAATTGATTTTTTTATTTTGTCACCTAGGAACGTATCCCCTATAATCCAATATAAATTACCATTTCGTATTCACGGTTTCTGTATTCGTGGCATTTTTATGGAACGTATCTCCCACGAATAAGGAGCTTTTACTATACCTATTCATTTCTATCTGGTTAAGGCTACTGAATGATTCTTATGCTATAAACGGTTATGTTTATAGTTCGAAAAATTTCCATAAATTACTTGTTATGTCTTATGCCTGCATATACGATTATATATACAAAAATTTGTCCACATTGCCAAAACCGGGTTTCTTTATATGTGCATATAGACAGTTTCCATAAGAATGAGTTTCTTATTTAATTGTCTATGTTTAGATTTAATTCCTAGCCACTTGTATAAATCACGTGTTGCAGATGTATAATGCAGGTATGTTTTTTCATTGCTAAAATCGGTTTGCTTCACTCATGTAACCATACGTTTCACGTATATAGATAGCATTAATATTAAACATGAGCATTGATATCTATTTATTCTTGTTACGCATACAAACAAACCATACATACATTTCTTTTATAAATATTGCATGAAAATAGCTCTTTTTGAAAATATGTATACATTGGTCTAACTAAAACTAGTTTTTTTCACTAAACGCACACACGCATTATTAAACGATTGTGGCTATAAGCAATCAACAGGCATATTCCTAAATAAGCGTACCAGCTTGAAGCAGGCACGAACATAGCAACATAAGCAACACTACAACTGTACAGCGATGATACTGGTAAATATAGATGGCCTTTCAGTTCTGTTACGGCAGCCAAAGAGGGAAGTTATATATATAAATAATATAATAATAAAAATATAACAAGCATTATATAATAAACGGATAGGGGATGGTTGCCGTAACTTGGTTGCTGTCCCTGAAGAACTGGTGAGACTCTTAGACTTAGAGATTTGGTTGGCTTAGCTTAGCCGCTGACCCCAACTGTGTGACTTTGCGGATAGGAGATGGCTGGCTTAGTTGTCCTTGAGTGACTTTTGTAACGATTAAGTGTAATAAAAGTAACTGAAAAAACATTTAGGAACTAATAATAGTACCTACTGATTGGCCGTCCTAACACAAAATGTCTGGTTGCAGAATCATCGTGAAAGAAAACCCGTGAATCGTGAAAAGTGTTTAAGGAAGTGAAATCTGACAAGAAAAGTGGAAAGGAGTAAATAATAATAAAATGGATCATGATGTGCCTCCCTACTTACCGAATGTTTTACCAAGAACTTCGTTAAAATGGCCCGTTTCAAGCAGTGTTACCTTCTACCCATGAATCTTCGCAAAGTGCGGCAACTAGTTGTAAAAGGAGGTCTTAGTTTTCCAAACAAAGAGCGAAACTTTGGGACAAAATATTAGCACGAAATAATGCTTAGAAATTTCTTAACCGTTTGAAACTAGAAATTTTAAACACTGTAAATAGGTAAATGCTGAACACTTATCTTATGTATATTTATTTTA